ACTCTGCCAGTGGTGGCGTTCAGCAGCTGGCCTGGGGAAAGGAAAGCCCTGGCCCTTGACCGTCTTCTTTTTAGAAAAGGCACCATCTCCCTGGGAGACCTCTGGGCAGGCTTGGGGGAGGGTGGGGTTGTCTGTGAACCTCTGGGCACAAAATAAGTGTGAGAGTGTGGGGTGCTGTTTTGTGGGCCCGTAACTCGCAGCCACCCTTTGGACAGGACCAGGACCCCAACAGGGAACTGTGGGTGCCTGGCAGAGGCACGGTGGTCTGGGTGGCTTTGACCCTGAGGCCTCCTGTCAGGGCATGTCATGGTTTAGAGGGCCTTGAAGAAACTATCTGAGGGGGGGCGAGGGGAGGAGAGAAGGGGTGTCCCTACCCCTGATTAGTTAGAAACTCTCTCCTTACCCAGCTGCAGGCAGGTCTGGGGATGGAAGGGCTGGGAGGAGAGCTTGCCTTCTATCTGTCTGTCTGTCCGAGGCTGTTCTGCACCTCTGCTGGGCAGACGTAGCAGTGGGGGAGGGCAGGTAGGACTGGGAGGGGGTTGCTTAGTAGACACTTTATCAGGGAAGCCTGGATTTTGGTGTTGTCTTTGTTTCTAGCTTACTCTGTGACTCATGGCAAGACTTTCCTCACTCTGGGTCTCAGTTCCCTCAACTCTGAGGCAAAGAAGTTGGAGTAGAAATGGTTTTTGAGGACTGTTCCACTTCCAAGTCTGTGGTCCTGATTCTGGGCCAGGGGGACACTGGGCAGCATTAGCAAGGCAGTTGTCCTTTCTCTGCTGCATTTGACTGTTTGGCTGGAAGCCTCTGGATGTCCAGTGGGCATGGGCAGGAGTGGTGTGTATCTATTGTGTTGGGGTGCCCAGCTCCCACCCCCAGTCCTCATCCCACAGAGCCATTTGTGTCCCCCTGGAATCTCCTTTTCCCCTGATCCAGAATACAGATCAGGAAGAGGCAGGTGGTGAGGTCAGGAAGGTGGGGCGTGCAGGGTGCTGATGAAGTCTTGCTCGTCCCCCCACCCCAGCACCTAGCATGGTATCTGGCACATCGCAGGCATTCTTCAAGTGTCTGGATGCTTCTCAGGACCCCAGCTGACTCTTTGGGGCTACCCCACACCCCAACCCTATGATGCATGGAGTGGCATTTTCAGTTTGGGACCTGTAGCAGCCCAGGTAAGAGGCTTGAGGGAAACCAGCAGTTTGGAGCCCAGGCCCAGAGCCACCTCCTTGGTGTATGCTTCCTACCCAAAGTCGTAGGCTTCTCACTGTGATAGGAGCCCTGCAGTCCCAGCCCTAAGAATGGGGTCGTGGCCTTTTTGTGGTTGGTTAATTTGCAGGGTCATGGAGGTGAAAGGTAAGATGCAGCCTAACCCAGAAGGGCCCTGTCCTCCCTCTGCTCACAGGCCTGGGCACACGGGACAAGTGTGAGTATGCTGTGAGATGGCTGGGCATAGCATGGCTGCTCTGGCAGCTGGTGCCACCTCATTAGGCACCGTCTGTGTCCCTGCCTCCCTTGGGAATCCAGGAGAGGGCCAGGGGTCGGGGAACCCTGGAGAATGTGTTTCCTGCTGCTCCACTCACCCTGCCGCACAGTCCTGGCTTCTCTGTCACAGGCCTGCGCCTCATACCACAGGCCTTCAGGCAGCCTTCCCGCTTTGGCAGCCCCAGGCACAGGCGTGAAGACCTCAAGATGCCCATCCTGCAGGCACCTTGAGTGAGCAAGGCTGGCCACCAGCTAGGGACATTTGGGAACCTGCAGGCTCATTTGTCTTCATAATGTAGATTGTGGGGTGGGGTGAGTGATGGGCTGCTTCTTTTACTGAGGTATAACACGTACAGCAAAGTGCCTCTTTCTTATTGTTCAGCCTGATAAGCTTTTCCCCGTGTATATACTTCTGTAACCACAACTCCAATCAAGAGGTAGAGCATTCCTATCACTCGATAGGGCTTTCTTCTGTCAACGCCCCCCAAAGGCAACCGCCATTCTGACCTCTATCCCCATGGATTACTCTTGCCTGCTTTCAAGATGGTGGGCTTCTCCCTCTTGTCTAGTGAAGATCTGGTCCCTAGATAAGAAGAGGCTGGCTCCGGGCCCTGGAGGTCACCAGTGGCTTTGGGTGGTGACATGTATTCACCTTAGTAGAGGCCTCCATGGGGTTGGTGCTGGTGAACATTATCCCAGGACCCCTCCTGCCACTTGCTCACACATACCAGATGCCCCCCACCCCACGACTGAGGCAGAAGCCCAGGGGGAAGGTTGGCAGGGTACTGAGGAGGAGACCACATCCCCTAACCCTTCTGCCCTGAGTTTGGTCCTGGAAGCCTATTTGGGGGCAAGGGTCCCTTAACCTTAAATTACAATAGCCATTTGACTTTCAGAAACCCTTCCTGGCCTTTGGCTTAGGAACTGGCCTAGATGGGCCTTGGGGGCTCCTGCTTGGGTAGGCCCAGGCCCCTTGGACATAGGGAGTAGGTAGTAAGGTGACCCATCTGTGTCATCCAGAACTGAGCTGGCACCAGTGTGCCCCAGACCAGGACAGTGTCCCCTGCCCACCCTTCCTATTTCAGGTCACCGTGGAAGAGAGGGAGAACCCCTCCCCCAGGCTGGGAGAGTGCCGAGCAGAGCCTTGGACCCCTTTCCCCAGATCCTGGTCACTGCCTCATTCAGGGGCTCACCATGTCTGGTCTGGCCCTGGAAACCAGGCCAGCCTTCCCAGGTCTGGTTTCTCCGGTAGGGCCACGGGCTTGGGGTGGAGGCCTTAGAGCTGCCCATTTATGATCCTGGCCTGGGCGGCTCCCTCCTGACAGGAAACCCCACCATTTCAACAAGAGGAATTCAGGCTGCGTCATTTCCAGCTTCCTGGCTGGGCTGGCGGAGGGGGCTGGCAGGCAGACCCCTGACCCAGTGGTGTTTGGGGGTGGGGGGGGGAAGGAGCTTTCCATGCCTGGGGGGGCCTCACCGTTTGGGTAAAGCCAACACTAAAGTTTGCTCTAGGGCTCCCCCTCTTGGCACAGATGGCAGGTCCTTTCCTTGTAGGCCCCTCAGCCTCCGAGGAAGGTGTATGGCGGGTACCTCCTGCATCCCTCTGCCCTGTTTTGGGGGGATCCCTAAAGTCCAGACCCAAAGAACTGAGCCATCCTCCTTTCACCTCCTGTTTCCATGCCGTGGAGGGGACACTCACCACGGCAGAGCTCAGGCTGTATCCTGACTCAGTTTCCTCACAGTTCTCTGGCGAACACTGGTAGAAGTCCTTGCAGGGAAGGGTATGAGAATTGCCTTCTGGTTGGAGAGGCTCTCATTACCCCAAGCCTGTCCCCTCCCCTGGTGGGGGCCACTCTGGACAACATGAGCACTAGGGGCGAGGCAGAGAGCCAGTCCCCACCCCCTCACCCCCTGCCAGGACCGGGCTTCGTGAGACAGGCCGGGGGGCCTGGGCAGAGCACAGTGTCCTGCGAGAGAGGCTCCCTGCCCCCACTCTCCAGTGGCACACAATGGCTGCTTTCTCCCCGTGACCTTTCTGCAGCCTGAGCTGTATGCAGCTGTCTCCTCCCCCTCTCCCAAGGGGCCTGGGATGGGTGGCATCTCCCCTGCCCTGGAGAAGGACCCCAGGAGTTCCCATCCTGCTCTGGTCCCCCTTCTTGCTTCTAAAGTTCACTTCTCCCCAAGGAGTGGAGAGTGGCTCCCATGGCCCTCGCCCACTTGGGGCTGCAACAGCAGCTGGTGTGGACATGGCATGGTCTCCAGCGTCTAAATGCCTGGGTTCACATCCCAGCAATCCCACTCATTAGCTTTGTGGCTTTGAATAAGCATGCTAACCTCTTTGAGACACTGCTTCCTCATTGGTAAAGCAGGGGTAGCATTTCCCGCCTTGCCTGACTGTCATTAGAGGTACCATACTTATGGCACCCAACTGGTACACAGTGGGTACTCAGTCAGTGTTAGTTCCTTTGCTCTCTCCATCCTCCTTAAGAGGGGCTCCAGCTCGCCCCATCACTGGTGGTGTCAGGAGACTCGGTCACGAAAGGGGCTCTTACCTGCCAGGATGAGGACAGAGGTGGGAGCCCCCAGAGGGGTGTGATGGGTCAGGCAGGTGAGCTAGTGGTTCTAAAAGAAGCCTGAGTGTAGGAGAAATGTGGCACTGATCTGGACACAGGAGTGCCTAGAGATGTGTGGCATGCAGTCCTTGGGGACTTCTGCCTCCCTGGGGCAGGGCTAGGGTGGCAGCCTTGTTCCCTGGGGAAAGGCTGTGGAACTGGTCGCAGTGGCTGCAGGACAGGAAGCTTTGCCCGCTGAGTAGGCCCTGGGGACCACACCTCCCCAGAGGGGCAAAGACATGTAGGAAAGGGCTTGGCTCTGATGGGAGTCCCTCCCACCTCCAGAGCTCAGCGTCCTCATCGCTGGTCCAGCTCCCAGAGCCTTGGGGGACTGAGTGAGCAAATGTGCGTGGAGTTCTAAGTGTAGTGCGGGCCCAGGGCGGTGTTCAGGAGGCCTCACCCATGTCTGGCTGTGGCTGACCCTTCCCCCCACCCCGGCAGACCCCGGCTGGGCCTCCATCAGCAGGGGTGTGCTGGTGTGTGACGAGTGCTGCAGTGTGCACCGGAGCCTGGGACGCCACATCTCCATCGTCAAGCACCTTCGCCACAGCGCCTGGCCCCCCACTCTGCTGCAGGTACGGGCTGTGCCGGGGCCGTGCTTCCTTCCCCGTAGCGTGTGCTGAGCGCCGGCACGTTTCCCCCCCCGCACCCACATACACAGCTGTCTGGATCCCGCCGCTTCCGGCAGCAGCACCCACCCAGGGCAGAACCCAATCCTGACCCTCTCCACCCGGGTGCCGGCCCACACGGAGAGGAGGCTTCCAGGACCGGAGTCACACAGACCTGGGCTTTCACCCCAGCTCTGCCACCTAGTAGCTCGGCCATGTAGTGTTGAGTTTAACGTCTCAGAGCCTTGGTGTGCCCACCATGTCACCCGAAGTGCTAAGCAGGACCTGCATCCTTGGCTGGGATGGCCTGACTGGGTAGGGGTGCAGCAGTGCCAGGCGCACAGTAGGCCTTTTAGTACTGTGTCCAGCCTGGTGCTCGGAGGTGTTCCCCAGCGCGCAGTGGGCATTCTCACTCTGGCACCTCTTCCCTACAGATGGTGCACACACTCGCCAGCAACGGGGCCAACTCCATCTGGGAGCATTCCCTGCTGGACCCCGCGCAGGTGCAGAGCGGCCGGCGCAAAGCCAACCCCCAAGACAAAGTCCAGTGAGTCGGGCTTGAGGGGTGGTGGCTGAGGTTGTGCACTCAGGGGCAGGAGCCTGGGAGGTCGCTGGGCAACAGGCCTCTCCCGCTCTGCTCCCCATTTCCTCCTGCGTGCCCCATGCAGCCCCATCAAGTCAGAGTTCATCAGAGCCAAGTACCAGATGCTGGCTTTTGTGCACAAGCTGCCCTGCCGGGACGATGACGGAGTCACCGCCAAGGACCTCAGCAAGGTTTGCGGGGCCCCACAGCGGAGGGCTGGGCCTCTCCTCTCCTCACCCACAGTGCCATCACCACTGAGCCCTAGGCCCCCAAGGCAGCCAGGTCAGGCAAGCACGGTGGGCACGGTGGAGGGACGAGATTGTGTGGTCAGGCCGCGTGTGAATAAGGCCCCTCCGCTCCCAAGTGGACACACGAGGCTAAAATTCTTCAGCTGCTGCCCGAAAGGCAGAAAACTCTGGGCAGTTTCTGAGCCTCCCAGAGCCTCGGTTTCCTCATCTGTAAAATGGGAAAGAAATAGCATCTACCACAGAGTCAACAGCTGTGGTAGGTGGTGACTGACTGCAGCTGTGATTAATGGGCATGAACTCCTAGTGAGAAGCCCTCTGTCTCCTCGACAACCTAACTTCAGCTGGGCCCCTTGGAGCTGGTAGGAGTCCCAGTTGGGCCTGGACCAGGGGCCGAGGGAGGTGGGAGGTGGGAGGTGGGAGGCGGGAGGTGGGAGGGGGGAGGGCCCCCCCCCACACACCCGTTTGTGGCACACTCTGCTCCTCACAGCAACTCCACTCGAGCGTGCGGACGGGAAACCTGGAGACATGTCTGCGCCTGCTGTCCCTGGGCGCCCAGGCCAACTTCTTCCACCCAGAGAAGGGCACCACACCGCTGCATGTGGCTGCCAAGGCAGGGCAGACGCTGCAGGCCGAGCTTCTCGTAGTGTACGGGGCTGACCCTGGCTCCCCCGATGTTAACGGCCGCACACCCATTGACTATGCCAGGTGAGGGTCCGCTGAAGGGTGAGGCTCGGGTGTGGGGAGTGGGCTGCGGCTGTAGGGCTGAGCCATGCCCCCTCCCCACAGGCAGGCGGGGCACCACGAACTGGCGGAAAGGCTAGTCGAGTGCCAGTATGAGCTCACTGACAGGTTGGCCTTCTATCTCTGTGGACGCAAGCCGGGTGAGCAGTGTGTGGGGCGGGCTTGGCTGGGCCAGGCAGGTGGGACCCAGACACACCCCAGCAGCAGGTGCCATGGTGACAAAGCCGGCTGGGGAACAACGTTGCTAGGCAACTGGCTCCTGTGAAATTGCTGCAGGCTCTGGGCTGCAGCGTGTTGGGGTAGGGAGTGGGGGCGGGCATAACTTCCAGCCAGTTCCCGGGCTCTTGGGGGTGGCCTGCCCTCCTCCCTTCCCCTGTCACTTCTGGGTGCCAAGCCCTGCTCATGGCAGTGAGGTGGGCTCCCAGCTGCTAAGGCCACCCAGCACCAGTGACTTGGCATTTTTATTTTTATTCAGATCACAGGAATGGGCATTACATCATCCCACAGATGGCAGACAGGTGAGTGCCCACCTGACACCCCTTCCCAGAGGCGGCTGGATGCCCTGTGGGTGCCTGACCCCCAGAGCCGCCCCCACCCCCCAACTCTTCAGCTTTAGGGGCTTGGGACCCCCCACCCCCATTCCCCTTCGGGGCTGGAGGCACAAGCATATCACAGTCCAGTCCTCACTCCCTAATGCTGGGCCCCAAGGCAGGTAAGAAATGTTGACTCAGCACACGGCCAGCACAGCCTAACCCCCATGGCTGTCAAGCACATGGGGTTTGAGTACAAGAAACAGCCCCCCTAGGAGCAGCGGATCACTGAATTCTGTTCCCAGTGGCACTGACCCCAACTGTAAAATCTTTAGACAAATTTTTGCTCTTCAGTGAAAAGGTGCTGGGCCCCGGGAGTTTGACTAACTTTGGGATTCTGCCAGGCCAAAATTGGGCAGGGGCTGCGGGCCCAAGGCCAGTAGAGGTGTTTCTGCCTCTTATCCAAGAGGCCCCAGGAGCTCAGCCTCGGGGTCGGGGGGGTGGGGGTGGTGGGGGGATGCTCACCCAGCTCACAAGATGGATGCTAGCGCCACCTGGTGGCTGCCCGCGATGGCTAAGCTGTGCCTACTGGCCTGGATCTGGAGAGGAGGCTCCCTCCCTCTCCAGAAGCCAGTGGGGCCAGATGGGTATGGTCAGACCTGGGCACCTCGGATCCCTGAACGCCCAGATCTTCTCTTCTGAGACCCCAAGACACCCCGCTACTTTTCTGGTCTGATTTTGCCTGGTGTGTCTGCCTGCTTGTGTGTGCATTGTAAACGCATTCTCAATGAAATGTTAACCAACCACCTTCCCAGTGCCAGCTATTCTTGCCGCTGGACCCAGAGGTAACTCAGGTGTGATCCCTACCCTTAAGGAGGTCACAGCCAAGAGGGGAGGCACCCTAGTCAGTTGTAGTCCATTGTGGGGAGTGCAGCAAAAGAGGCAAAGGCATAGACGTCAGAAATGCTGTGCCAGGAACTACAGGCCAGCTGTGTAGCTGAAGCATGTGAGAGGCAGGGAATCCCAGGAGCAAGACTGGAAGAGAGACAGGGCAAGAGAGTGGCCGGTCCTGAGCCCCGACAAGAGCTGAGACCACCCCAAGAGCAGAGAGGTTCCAACACGGACATGTGGAGTCTGCTCTGCCACTTACTGGCTGTGTGGCTTCAGGCAGGCTCCTTAACCTCTCTGAGCCTTAGTTACTGCTCCTGGAAATAAGGGTGACTGTACCTATCTTTCTGGGCTTCTGAGAGGATTAAATAAGATAGTGCCTGCAAAGCATTTAGCGTTTTTATTTCGTTTATTGGCCGCACCGCGTGGCTTGCGGGATCTTAGTTCCCCAACCTGGGCCCCCCGGCAGTGAAAGCACCGAGTCCTAACCACTGGACCGCCAGGGAATTCCCTAGCATATTTTTAAGTGAGCTTTTTGTTGAAGTGTGCCATACATAACCTGTTACTATTGAAAAGTTCTTAAGGCGAGGGGTAGCGCAGCCAGATGTGTCAAAAATACTTTGGCTTCTGGGTGAATAAAGGGGTGCAGGGGCAAGACTGGAAGCGGGAAGATGGGTGAAGAAATGTTGCAAAAGACCAGGCAGGAGGATGGAATGGCAGAACCTGGGGAAAGCCTGGCTAGGGCTTGAGGGTGAGGGAGGTTGCAGGTGACCCCCAGGAGCTGCTGCTGGTGCGGTGGATCACTGAGAGGAAGAGCGAGCCGGCTGAGAAGGGGCTGGGGGGAAGATGAGTTGTGCTTGGTACACTCTGGGTCTGGCGTGTGCACGGCGACGGGTCTGAGCTTGACGTGGGAAGGCATTTGCTGCCCTGCTCCTGGGTAATTGCTGCCTCTGTCCTGTTCTTCCCTCTGCTGCCTTCCTCTGGACTTAGATCTCGGCAAAAGTGCATGTCTCAGAGGTATATGGTGCCTGCTCGGGAACAGGCTCTGGAGGTTTGGTGGGGCAGGGAGGCATTTGGTGTGCAGCACCTGGGGTGTCGTCTCCCTGGGATCCCTGCATGTTTGGGAGATCACTGGCAGGGGCCTGGCCACCACTCACGTCTGGCCTCTCCCCTCTTCCCCATTCCCATCTTCCTCCTTCGTCCACAGCCTAGACCTGTCCGAGTTGGCCAAAGCTGCCAAGAAGAAGCTGCAGGCGGTGAGTCTACTCAGGCCCCTAAGGCTTGGAGCTGCCTTCCATCTCTGACCCATCCCCGTCCCTGCGATGGCTCCCCCTTTCTCTGACCTGGTGCCCTTTTCCAAGTCTTGGACCTGCCCCTCACTCTAGTCTCCTCAGTCACCTGTCCTCCACCTCCGCACCCCTCGGCTTTGACCCTGGCTCTGCCCTCCTAAGGCTCCCAGGGCATGTGGCACATCTCTGGCTACCTGGGCACTAACCAGTCTGCTCTGGTCTCCCTCTGCCTCTCCCACCTCGGAGCTTGGCAGGCAGACCCCTATCCCAGTTGCCAGTTCTGAGACTGGGGGGAGGGCTGGGCGGCACAAGGGACACACAAGTCGTTTTCGACATCTTCTAAGATCCCAGTGAGCTGGCTTGCTTGGCACTGGGGGGCCAGTTGATCTGACAAAGCCTGGGTCCCCGTCTCCGCCTCCAGCTCAGCAACCGGCTTTTTGAGGAACTTGCCATGGACGTGTATGATGAGGTGGATCGAAGAGAAAATGACGCTGGTGAGCCGGGAGGGGATCGAAGCATTGGGCAGAGGGGACAGTGCCCTTCCTGCTGGGGAGGGGCTGGGACCTGGTGTGGCTCTGGGGTCCTTTTACTGGGACTAGGAAGAGATACTGGGGGCTGGTCTGCTCGGCAGGCCTGCACGTAAGCCCTGGCCAACTGTGAGCCCAGCCAGGCAGGCAGAGCATGCTGAGCTGGAGGCCGCCAGCCTGCTCCTCCCCCCAGCCCCCTGGACTGGGGCTCCTCTGCTCTGGCTGCCTCCCACTTTGGCTCTCTCCCCAGTCCCACTCCGCCCCCTACATCCCTTCCTGGCCACAGCCAGATTCCAGCCCAAACTCCCGGTTGATAGGGGCTGGCGGGAGGGAGTCGCCTCGTTCTGTTTCTCAGTCCCCAACCGGCCTCTCCCTGACCCAGCCTTACTTCCCCTGTCCGGAGACCACCCCTTTCTTGAACACCAACACTCGGTGGGCATGGGGAGGAGCTCGGAAGGCTGTGCTCCTCGCTTTCCCACCTCCACCCTGTGGGCCTGGCCACCTCGGACCATCCGCTCCCTGCCCCTCCCCCCCAGTGTGGCTGGCAACCCAAAACCACAGCACCCTGGTGACGGAGCGCAGTGCTGTACCCTTCCTGCCCGTTAACCCTGAATATTCAGCCACGCGGAATCAGGTGAGTGGGCTGGACCGGGGGGGGG